GTGAAACCGAAAAAGAACTCTTCTTGCAGATCACCATTCTGTTCAAATCTCACACCAAAAAAATCGCCCCACCAGCAAGATCTGTAGATTCGTCAAGTTACAAACCAAAATATTTTGATGCTTTTATTTGTTCAATTAACTAATCTTCAATATCATGAGTGTGGTCGTGAATTCGACGAGCTATGGGCCATTTGAGAGTGGTACTTGTGCCACTTTCTTTCGGGCTGCGCTCCCAGCATTTCGAAGCAAACATCCTTAATACAGCCGGCTACTAGTCCATTATCTATTGTGTATGGCTTTAGCAATTTGAAGAACAACTTTGTAAGAAGCTCGCAGTGCAGCAATATTTATGTGTGGGAACTAAAAAAGCAGTTCTTTATGTTTGCTACTCACGTGCCTTTTTAGTTTTGATAGTTTCATTGCATCGTTGGACACAACGGTACTACACACAACGCATTGCGGTTTTGGTACTCCTTAATCATTCAAGACTGCGAAACCAAATTGAATATATGAAGAATCATATTGTCGATTGAATGTCGAACGAAATCGTTTTGATGTTATTGGTATTTGTTTTGTACTGAAATCGTTGTCACTGCCATCGGAATTAGCCATCGTTTTTGAAATTTTTCAGTTTTTGCCGATAGGGCGAAAACAAAAGGCGATAGCTGTTTCGAGTTTTCGGCATTAGCAGTATCTCGAGCTAGAAAAACGAGATCAGGACATGTAAGCTATTTTTTGTCTATCTCTTTTAGTTTCGGAGATAGCCTATGCGGACAACGAATTTGGGACACCCTATACATGGAATGATTCAACAATTTATTGATGGAGATGAATGTAATGCTCAAAAGCCAATAGGGACTGAAGAAAAACTTGGAGTATTTGAAATATAGTGTTACTTATCGCACTCAAACTCTTGGGTTCAGTAGAGGTCACTGGAAGAACTTGAGGCTCCTGCTCTATCTGAGGTATGGTGAATTGGTATAAAAGATGAAGTTTGCGGCTGTGAGGTGGTTGGATCGGGGGTATGGAAAGTAGTGTTAGTTGAGTCTTGAAAGAGCACCTAGAAGATGGCCGGCTGGAAGGATGTATAATTTCTGCTTCTGCTCCAGACACTGCTTAGAAAACTTGCCATATGACCTTATGCTGATAAACGTGAGACATTCGTTTTGTTACTTAGTACATAGAAATGAAAAAGTTATGTCCGTGCTTGCGTTTTCCTCCAATAATTTTCCTACCTCCTTCCTCCTATCTTCTCGCTGTTGAATCAATGGACTCATAAGATCATAGATGTCGATGGTACCGTGTTTTTTTTTCAGCGGGGTCTGTGCTGTTAAATTTGGAATCGGAAGTAATGATACAGTTGCACGCTTCCTTTTGCATCACCATTGTCTCCAATAGAAACTAGGGGTTGCTCAACGACAGTTCTTTCCCCATCGATTAAAACTTTTCCATTACAATCCAGTTGAGTGAACTCTGCGTTTTCACTATGAGCAGATCCCTCGTCCTGACTTTCCAAATTTTCACTCCTTGATGGTTCTAGTATCGATTCGTCCGGTATCATTATACAACTAAACTAACAAGTGGCACGTGCTGCGCGAAAAACTGTGTCACTGCAACTGCGTCGCACGTGTTCGTGCAGACGCGAGTCGTGTGATGAATTTGCGCCGTCCCATTCAATTCACTCAAATGGATTGTAATGGAAAAGTTTCAATCGATGGTGAAAGAACTGTCGTTGAGTAACCCCTATGTTCTATTGGAGACAATGGTGATGGAAAAGGAAGCGTGCAACTGTATTATCACCTCCGACTCCTTATATTTAACAGCACATACACCGCGGAAAAAGAAAAAAAAAACAGTACTACAGCGAGAAGAAAGGGCACGACAACGAGCGGAAGATAGGAAAAAACTATTGGAGGAAAATGCTCCTATACACGGACGACGCCCTATATAACTTTTTCATTTCCACGTACCAAGTGTCTCCCCTTTATCAGATCGCAAATTTTCCAGGCAGTATCTGGAGTAGAAACAAAAATTCTACACTCTTCCAACCTTCTACTGGGTACGGCAGAATGATCTCCCACATTTTAATCTTTAATAAAAACGCCATTGTAAATGCTATTTAAATTTTTTATTTATTAACTGAAAATGTATGCTATGCCATTTGTTTTTATTAAGTTTTGAAAATTACAGAGTCCAAGTGGTGACCATTTTTTTCGATACACATGCGAATCTGATTTCTGAAAATTTCCATCACTCGAGCAGTAATTTGAGGCGATATTCCTGTAATTTCTTGGCGTATTGCTGCTTTCAATTCATCAATGGTTCGGGGATGGTGTTGAAAAACCTTCGCTTTCAGGTAGCCCCAAAGGAAAAAGTGGAAAATATCTCGATAATTAATCGCCTTCATTAATAGACTTGTTGGTTAAATAACTATTAAATGTAAATTTATGTAATAACTGTGAGTAATAAATATTATTTATTTGTAAGTGAACAAATCCTCATTCAAACAAATGCCCTCCTAATTCGGCACACATTTGAAGACGAGTTCTAAATTCTTTATAAGAATTATGAATTTCCGCCAGTGGTAGAGATTCTATCGCATTAATTATTCTTAGTTTTAATAATTCTGCATCATCTTGTAATGGTTCACTGTAAACAATTTGTTTCAATCGTCCCCAAAAATAAAAATCCATAATTGTAAGATCAGGACTACGTGCTGGTCATCAAATAGGACCATTTCGTTCAATCCATTTTTGACGAAATTGTAAATTTAACCATTTGGCACAATGTGTGAATGGTAAGCTGAGCAACTGTCTTGCTGAAAGTACATTGACCGTATAAAATTTAAGGGTAATTGGATTTACATCGCTCCAATAACGACAATGCTGGGAAGAAACAATGTCATTTGTTGAAAAACTATCTGAAAAGCAGCGTCTTCCTTATTTAGTCTCTTTGTTTGCCTCTTGATGGATAACATAGAACCCGTTTCCAAAAATTTTTTCATAAGTTTGCGAGCCCCAACATGAGATATTTTTGTGTCTGGATATTTTTGCTAGAATTTTTGTATAACTACACGAAAACATGATTCACTAGTTCCATAACACAGTACTAAATAAATTCTTTCTTTCACGGTTAACATCGCATGAAAAGACTTAATCTCACCAACATAAGTTGTAACTTTTATGGTTTCTATGGTTACATATCATAAATTGAACTTGAAAAATTTTCAATTTAGAAAAAAGTCCAATTTTTACAACAAAATTGGAATAATTAGTTAACTTTTATAGTTAGAGTATAAAACTCATGCGATTTAGTAGTTTGAACATATGCGACGCATTATTTATGCTGAGATAAGTTTGAAAAATCGGTAACAAAAATTTTTTCCTCTTTGTAACTCGATCCGGGGACATACTGTATACTATATTCCATACATAATGGGCATCAATTAAGAGCATGACAATCAATGATAATGTCAAAAACTGCTGTCGTCGCCGCCATATCGACATGAAATTACTCAGGAATTATCGAATTTTAAGACGGGTTTTCTTTAAATAGTAGGATTGAACAAAACACTATACAGCACACGTGGGGAAACTTACATTTTCCACTAACTTGTATGTCACTTATACTGTAATATACTATTTCTCGTAATCCAAACGCCTCATCTCCAATAAATGCCAAAATAGTATATTAAAAAACAAGTTTCGTAAGACATGCTTGAAATGCACGAATTCCAGTTGAAAAACGAGTGAAACGTGTTTTTTATGCTATTTTTTGTAATTCGCGTTTTTATCCTTTTTTTTTAACAAAAATAAAATAAATTTTGACGGTGTAGGGAAATAGGTATGTAGCAGTTGGTAACAACGTATCACTTGAAAATAGAAATTTGAATTGACAATTAGAAATTGTCAAAACACAAAATGTATTCACCTGAAAGAAATTTTTGATATACACCTCCCAAAATAAGAGGAATTGCTCAGAGTTCAATGTCTTCATCATTGTGGACCTTGTATTCGATGCTAAGAACATATTGAAACATCCAAAGACAAAAATTGTCACATTGACAACTAGAAAAATTAATGACCTCATGTCACCAACTTGAACTGGTTGCATAAAATGTTACTAAAATCTCATTACAGCGTCGCATGGTGTAAGGAGTCTCATTACAGCACCCGTTTGAGTACTGTTAGAGCTTTCGTTACCGTCGCGAATTACAAAATAGTATATTAAAAAACAAGTTTCGTAAGACATGTTTGAAATGCACGAATTCCAGTTGAAAAACGCGTGGCTAAGCCACGAGTTTTTTAATGAATGAGTGCTTTAAGTCTTATGAAACGTGTTTTTTATGCTATTTTTTGTAATTCGCGTTTTTATCCTTTTTTTTTAACAAAAATAAAATAAATGATAAATAAACGATGTAGGGAACTAGGTATGTAGCAGTTGGTAACAACGTAACACTTGAAAATAAAAATTTGAATTGACAATTAGAAATTGTCAAAACACAAAATGTATTCACCTGAAAGAAATTTTTGATATACACCTCCCAAAATAAGAGAAATTGCTCAGAGTTCAATGTCTTCATCATTGTGGACCTTGTATTCGATGCTATAGTAGAAACCACGAGAGCTGGCAGTGACTTGACGTTTAAAAATCGTATGAATCAAGATATGGACGTACGACTTAAATTATTTCACCACATACATTTGAATGTAGGTTATGTTAGTAATAGAGGTTATATGTCAAACATTGTCAAAGATAGGAGAGGTTAACCAGCGAAAAAGCGTTTATATTAATTTATAATAAAGTTTATGTAATTATTAATTTATTTAATAATAATTAATATTTAATAAATTAATTTAATATTTAATTCATATTTAATATTTAATAATTTTTATTTAATATTTATAATTAGTCCATATCATCCTCTTCATCATCACTGCTCTCCTGATTTAAATTAATAATTAATGGCGCCTGCACTCTTTCCAGATGATTTCTAATACTCAGAAAGACTCCATTTCTTTCTCAACGTGATTAATGTAATGACGCCATTCCTCTGCGTTTACGCGTGACAAAGCCTCTGACCACATTGCCAAAACCTTATCATCACCATATCCATCTCTATCACTATGCTGGTTGTAAAAAAGTTTACATTTTGCCCAAACTAATTCAGTAGGATTGAATTGGCAATGATAAGGTGGCAATCGAAGCACTTTATGGCCCCACTCATTCGCCAATTCATCAATTTCATACGTTTGGGTAACTTGGGCATCTTTAGCTAACGCATATAGTTCCATTTTAAGCATATTAGAATTATATGCAATGTTGTTAGCTTTTAAAAAACTTTGAAGTTCCTCCTTGCGCCATGTAGTAGCGGGTATTCTTTGGATTAATTTTGGATGATAAGATACATTATCAAGGATAATTATACTAGGATTTTCTAAGTTTGGCAGCAATTGTTCTGTAAATTATTTTTTAAATAAATTAGCGTTCATGTTATCATGATAATCAACTTTTTTTTTTTTTAAGTAGGTACAAACAATAAATTTGCTCCTTCAATAAATCTTTCGCTGTTACCAGCATGCAGAACAATATATCTTTTTCCTTCACTAATATTTTTTCTTCTAATAGATTCTTTATTGTCATCATGCCAACTTCTTCTTGCTGAACCTCTCAAAAATTTTGCACGAGAAGACATAATATGCGGTTGCTCCATCAAACCTCTTCTATTATTGTCAATGGTATATGTAAATCCTATAGAGTTCAAGCACCGTCTTAGGCTAGTAGCTGAAAAACTGAAGACATTGTTTTCACGAAGCTCCTCTTTGAGACATTTTACAGTAACAGGAAGTAGTTTATTGTGGTTTGTATAAATTTTACGACGTATGGGGTCTTTCACAAAGTCATCAATATCAGTCGACCTTACTTTTTGCCTATTACGTGTTTTTTGGGGTGACGATACAGAGGATCCTTCTAATGATGCGGTTTCAACTCGATTTTTGATTCGATAAGTGGTTCTTACGGAAATTCCGCAAGCAGTAGCACTTTTCTCTAAGTTTCTAGTTTCTCCTTCATTCGCCTATGTATGCCGAAAATAATTTAAAACATTCATAAACATCATCATAGATTTTTTATTTAATGATTTTCCTTTCAAAGAAAACATATTTTCGGCTTTTAAAAATGTCAACAAATTCATGACAACGCTCAGAAGACGTTTCAATTTCAGGTTATAATTATAGAGTGACATCCCTTAAAAGAACAGACGTACTTTTTCGACGTGGCTATTTGAATTGTACAGCAGACATATTAAACTAATGCTATCTCTTTCTAACACATCATACTCTTTAGCGGTTTGTGAATTTTAATTTACTACGTATGGCATTTGTAAGAACGGAAAACGATGATTTACTGCCAGCTCTCGTGGCGTCTACTATAAGAACATATTGAAACATCCAAAGACAAAAATTGTCACATTGACAACTAGAAAAATTAATGACCTAATGCCACCAACTTGAACTGGTTGCATAAAATGTTACATACTCTCATTACAGCACCCGTTTGAGTACTGTTATAGCTTTCATTACCATCGCGAATTACAAAAATTAATAATTAACATATCCCAGCACATAACCTCTATTGTTTTGACATTTAACCTTAAAATTTGACAAGCTTACCAATAACCGGCAACATTGCATTTTTTTGTCTAAATTAATTCAATATCTTTTTACTTTTAAACATTGTATTAATGATTGTTATTTAACATTACCCGATTATCTAAACACAATATTAAAGAATTGAAAATTAATTACACGAATTTTTACAAAAAAGATCACTTTTTGGATGACATACATACATAAATAATGATAAAGATTAACTTTTTATTTAGTGTAGTTTAATAATAAAGCTGTTTTTAAAGCTTACTTTACCTGTACGAGAAATTAATTCTATATAGAGAATAGAGATATTAAAATTTATATTCGGCCATTTTATATTCGAACCCAAGCGAACCGTTTAGTCTTAACCTCAAAGTTTTTATCATAATTATTTTACATAGCATACGAATTTACAATTATATTTATGTCTTACATTACATTGCTCCTGCCCCCATCATGATCAAATTGAAGGTGTGCCGTTTGTGTTTAAACCCTAATAATTTAATAGACGTTTTTTATTCAAAAACGTCGTGCGCTGGGGTGAATCACCTTAGAACCTGCATATTACTATGCACTGGTATAAATGTAAGTCTATACACTGAACAATTTTATGCGAAATTTAAATTGAATGTTATTTTCAGATATTGTTTGAAGACAGCATTCCAAAGTATGTGTGTAAATCATGTTGCGATCTGAGTTTGAGATTATATCAGTTTCGAAAACAAGCACTAGCCACCGAAAAAGCCCTCAATAAATTTGAAGTAATTATTTTTAAGCTGTTGATTAAGTTAATTACTATTCTAAAACTCTCATTTAGAACTTATACAGTAATAATACATATTTTTCAGCAAATACAAATATCTGTAAGCTACAACTTTCCAGTAGATGTAATCCAAATAACAGATTTAAACCGCCTCTTGATTAAAAATTCAAACATCGAAGTACGATTAACCACATCATTCAGCGAAAAACAAGACACAAGTATCAAATTACCAAATAATGATTACGCAGTTCATCCAAGTGTAACGAATATTGTAAAAGCACATAAGAATATCATTTTACCAAATGAAGTGTTAAAGGATGATTTGAATCCTGTGGTGACGTTGGATACATTTTGGATTTATGAATATTCCGATGTTGAATCTGATGCATCCGAAAACCAATTGGATTCTGAATCTTCTTTGCTTCATTTAAAAACTAATACTACTTCTGAATTATGCAATATTAAAACTCGAAGAAGCTGCGTAAATAATTATAATAAGATTGATAATATCTGTGATGAAGATGAAAACTACTTGACGTGTAAAAAAAAACGGAAAACTTCACTCCGAACTACAACGCAACAACCACGTAAACGTTCAAAATCAATTTCAGTATTAAATAAATTAAAAGACGATGATAAGTCGGCGACAGCGTTTCAGACTTCAAAAGTAAATGTTTTCACGTATAACATGTTTTTTCATTCGTATGAATTTAATTATATTAAAAACATTTATGATGGGTACTCCAAAAACGCTAAAAATCACGCTACGAAATGTGTGAATACAGATTTCAGTGCCAATATTATAGTGAAAAAAACAGATAAATGCTTTGTACTTGAAAATCTGTTATGGCAATTATCAATATTTCATATACCTATAGAATATAGTTATGATGAAATTCCTCAGGTACATGTTTTTAAAAGTCGAAAAAAAGATGAAGATTTAGATTCACCCTTGAATTATACATGGATTGGATGTAACGTTATTGATCTTCATAAAAACTCTTTAAAGTAAATAAGTCGTGTGCAGTATTATGTTAAGGAAATAAGGTTTTTATGTGTTCAAATAGTTTTAAAATATATAATAATAATAATAGACTGCCTTTATTTCCAGAGTAAAGAGAACAAACAACAATAATAATAATAATAAATGTCTTTATTGCACATACATTGAATACAACAGAAAAAAAATATATAATAATAACAAAAATTGTATCTATACTGTAGATATAGAGTATACTAGAATGTTGAAACAACAAAAAATCAAAAAATAGTACCTAACAATACAAAAAAACGAAAAGAAAAAAATGGCATTGTGCAATAGGCGGGCTCCAGATAAAATCTGTTCAACCAACCTTACCACAAACATAAACTTAATATTAATTAAGACTAGACGCGTCCCAACGTTCTCTTGCTCTGAACGTTAAAAAAAATGCATTCATATGATTAACTATGACAAGGCTGCACATTGCTCCAGAAATTTATCTTTATAAATATAGCGTTTTTTTAAATTATTGATATTTAGTTTTTTGATCATAGACGGTAACGTTCCATTTGACTTATATATGTGATCTGTGAAACAAAGAGGTTCTGTATTTTGGTAGAGCATTGTTTGCCCTTTTAAAAGTAATTTTCTCATACAAGTATGTCGGTATATGTGTTGTGACGATTTTATGAAACAAAAGCAAACTGTGCAACTCCCGACGGGTATCCATTCTGTGCCACTCAACATCTTTAAGTTTTTGTGAGATTCTGTCATACTTCCGGATTCCAAAAATGAACCTAAGGCCTTCTGTACACGGAGCTGCTCGTCATAGACGCGTATTAGACGCCATTGTAAGAAAGCGTATGCTTCAGTGCATTTCACGTATTTCTAAATGAAAATCTGCAAATGACGACGCAGCGTCGCGATTTCGTTCACCAAAGGCCTTCTGCACACGGAGCTGCTCATCATAAACGCGTATTAGACACGATTGTAGTACAATATATTGTCTTACCACAACGACAATACAATTTCTTGAATACTTCTCTCTCTCTTGCTCTGAACGTTAAAAAAAAATGCATTCATATGATTAACTATGACAAGGCTGCACATTGCTCCAGAAATTTATCTTTATATGTGACCTGGACTACGGAAAGGGGGTTTATGTGCGAAAATTTATTTTCGAGATAAATACCGTTGAAGTTTGTAGTAACTGCGCGTTAGTTTTTTACACAAGTATTCAATGTTAGATTATTCGTTAGCGTAATAGTTACGAATTAAAAATTGCTAACGAAATGTATTTCGATAAGAATGATGATTCTATTTCCAAAGGGGATATTGATGTCGACATCGAAGGAGATGAGCTAGGACCATCTAATGTTAAAGAATACAATAATATTTCCCAATTCTTTAATGAAAATCGTTGTTGTACCCGAAAATGTATTTCTAAAATTCCTCGTGAAATGATTGAGCAATCCAGATTGGAATTTTTAGAGCTAACCAAAAGAGATCAAGACTTGGTCATTCTGAGTAAAATAGAAGCAGGAATATTGAAGAAGGAGTTAGAAAAGGTGTATTCTGAATTATCTGGGCGAAAGAAGTATGGAGTAAGGAAAGAATCTGAAGTCTCAAAAAGTAAGGTACTGTTCATGTATTTCAAAATACCTATTTGCCGACAGCTGTTTCTATTTATTTACGATTGCGGTAAACGTCGGTTTGAAAATTTATTGAAGTATTTCAATAGTAAAGGCGTGACTCCGAGGATACATGCTTTGACAAATAAGCCATGTACGAATCCAGCAGTTCTTAAGCCCGAAGTGATACAAAAGTTAGTTGACTTCATAAAAGCGACTGGAGAACGAATGGCAATTCCTCTGCCTGGTGGACTTCCGAATTTTAAAGATTTTCGGGTATTGAAACTCTCATCAAACGAGAACCAACCATCAATTTATAGACTCTTTATCTCTTCGCTCAATTCAAACGAACGTAATGTTATTAAGCTACAAATCTTTTAGTAGAATTTGGATAAAGTACATACCGTACGTAACGGTCATGAAACCTGCGGATGATCTCTGCGATATTATGCAATGAAAAAGCAGTTGCTGCGATCACATTGAAAAAGCTAAGAATCAACGAACTTGTTATCAAACATGGTGAGCTACTGAAGATCCAACTCAAGTACTATCATTCGACTTTGCCCAAACAGTACATTACCCAGTACTTCAAGGAGCTGAGAAAATGTGCTGTATTTGGTATCGTCAATGAAAAAGAAAAAATCCAGTACAATTATCTCATAGGTGAAGACGATGACATTGCGTGGGACAAAATAAAAATAATACGGTACTGGCATACCTATTGTGGAGAGTGGCTCGTGGAATGGAGAAGTCTATTTTATACAATTTCCTTCTCACGGGCCATACTAAATTTTCACCAGATATGTATTTTGGCATCTTAAATGTAAATACGCTCGAAGTAATATCGATACGTATAGAGATTTGATGAGATGTGTCACCGATTCGTTCCCCAGCGGCCATAACAAGCCAGTTTCAGCTAAACAAGTAACATGGCACGACTGGATATCATATTTAAAAGAATATTTTACTTGCTTGAAAGGTATAACTAAATATCACCACTTTATAATTTGCGAGAGTGGCATAGTGAAGCTGAAACAATATGCAAATAGCGAAAAATTTGAGCAATAAAGTGGAACACTCTTAGGAACATTCACATTCATCACACAGTACACCATGAAGTGATCGGAAACGTCACAGCCAATAACTCCACTACTCAGAATTAAAGACTCATCAAAAGTAATAATTAGGTCTATTAATGATATGCAGTTCCTCGCCGTCCTTGTAGGTGCATCAATGAGCTGGGTTCCACTCAATGAATCCATCAGAGACAAAAATTCAGTGGTATCACTTTTTTCGAAATTTAATAAGTTAATATTGAAATCACCACAACAAACAATTTTATCCGACATACTTAAATAATTTGTAATAGAATTTTAAAATTCATTGGGAAATTTACGTAACTAAAGTTAGGCGGTTTATACACGCAACCAACAAAAAGATCTACACCACCGCAACAAACTTTTATCCAAAGTTGCTCGATACTAAACGACGTATCTATTCCTTTCCAAAAGTAATACCTGCTTCCTTGTGTCTCCATACCAACGCTCTATCCCGGTAAGAAACAAACTTAATGATGATAGGTCGGTTCCTTGTCGATCCCTTATCAAAACGACCCAGCCTATGACATCTATCGATGATGGACATCGTTGGAATCCAATCAGGAATCCTCAATTTCGAGAAAGTCTGCAGCACACTAACTTCTAAATCGTGATCAGATTCATCGCTTTTCTCCGTGATCCTATGAAGCAACAAACAATTTCATCGACTTCTTCCAAATTATCGACCCGCTTATCATGATCCACCAAAACTTGTGAAATTCTCTCCAAATTGGCATATATCTCCGTTTGAAAAGCAGTGAAATCGCTTTTAATCGAGTCTATAGTTGCAACAGCTTCCGGTAAAATAGGTAGATGAAACTGTAAACATGTATGTCAAAATCAATCACACGCAAAAGCTTCACTCTTACAGAAAAATTGTCTAACTAGAGAGTTTTAATCAAAAGCGATTTTAACTACGGTTTATACCGTAAAAACAACCTTAAAAACTATTCTTTGTCAATATTTGTTTTAAACGTCAAAGAAGATCCATAGCCTACCAGCAGTAAAGTTAGTAAATTACAACGTATCATTACACCCAACTCTTTTTTTACACGGTAGATACGTTCCTTAGAAACCGTACAAAAGAAAATCGTGTAAAAAAAGTTATAATAAAATGTATATTATATATTTATAAAAGAAAAGCTATTTATTAGTTTAAAAAAAATAGTGTACAATCAAAACTCCAACATAACAATAAAAACGTAAACTAAAATTAGAAATAAAAATCAATTTCGCAAGTCTTCATCGCTACTTGATAATAAACGTGCACGTTTATTACGGACTTGACCAAAAGCGCCATCAGCATCATCAGTAGATATGTCGGATATGTCTAGCACAACTGTCAGATTTAATTCAAATGAAGAATTTCGTTCATTATTAACGGTCTCTGTTGTGTTTTTTTGTTGTTGTGAAGTCTGTTATTAGCTGCTGTCTTTTTGGTTTCTCAATATGCTTATATAATTCTTCATATCCAGCTACACATAACTTAAGACTGCGTTGAAATTTCAATGCACGCTCCATGTCAGGATCATGAGTAAGAAAATATTGTTGCAAATTTCAAGCCATCGTGAATTAAATCAGCCGTTAATAGCTGAACTTCATCTTCTACCTTGTCATTATCGATTTCTTTATTTTCACAAATTGTCATAAATTCGATCAAATCATCTTCATCCAAAGGGCTTTCTCGCATCAATTCATCAATATCAGCCGTTTGAATGTTGTTAAAACCGTTGCCACCAATTGTATTTGATAGAGTTATAATTTCAGAACACACTGCTGATTTTTCTACTACAAAACTTCCACTTTTGACGCATGCTGGCAATATTTTTTTCCAACAAGCATTTAAGGTTGATTGGCGCAATTGTTTAATGGCAACAGAAGCAAGTGTAATGCAATTCATAATCGTAAACTTTCTCCATGCTTCCAAAACAGTCAAATTTGTTTCTTCCACTGAATCTAAAATATAGTTAAACGTTTGCTTTATGTAGTACATTTTAAATGTTGCTATAATGCCATGATCGAGTGGCTGAATTAGCGAGGTAGTATTAGGCGGTAAAAATAGCAATTGAATATTTGGATGATCCAACACTGGGTGGCTGGGCGCATATATTTCTGGACTTCCGGAACAAAGCAGTTGTTGAACCAATTTGTAAACAGATCAGCCGTCATCCATGTCTTTTTATTCGCCATGAAATGAACTGGAAGTTGTTTAATGTTCTTACCTCTTAATGCTCGTGGCATAAGAAATTTGTTGATTAACAAAGGCTTTAACATTTCATCACCAGATGCGTTACTACATAACAAGAACGTCACTCGATTTTTGGCCGCTTTAAAACCGCCAGCTGATTTTTCAGATTTTGCTATGTAAGTCCTTTCGGGCATTTTCTTCCAAAACAATCCCGTTTCGTTGGCATTAAATATTTGTTCTAGAGTATAACCGCCCTCTTCAACGATTTTTGCTAGTTTATCCGGAAAGGTTTTTGCAGCATTTTCGTCTGCTGATGCCACTTCTCCCTTTATTTTTACATTGTGAAATGCGTGTCTTTTTATAAAACCTGTCAGCCATCCCTCACTTGCATTAAATGCCAGTTTCTTCGTTGCCTGAAGACTTGTTGATGGTTCCAATTCCTGAAGTTGGTTATACAGCGTGTCCCGTATCTTCCGCATCAGAGCATTATACGGTTGTAGAATACATTATTCTGAAGCGATCTTTCTAATAAAATTTTTTCGAAATGTTTATAATAACCGCACGGGAACTGTTTAACGACGACCAATAACGGACAACTTTGATTCATCGAAAAAGTTTATTTCTCTTTCCATGACGAATCTATTGGTGAGTACAGGTGGGAAACGAGTTATCATCGGCGTAGCGGACCGGCCGAGGGTGGCACCGATTACCTGAGTCTGATTTGCGATCTGCTGATTGGACGAAAAACAGTTCCTTTAAACAGTTCCCGTGCGGTTATTATAAACATTTCGAAAAAATTTTATTAGAAAGATCGCTCCAGAATAATGTATCCTACAACCGTATAATTCTCTGATGCGGAAGATACGGGACACGCTGTATATTCTAAGTGCTTTTTCTTTTATATATTTCCCATCAATAGGTATTCTTTTTGACTGTAAATCTTCTATTCAAAACACCATGTGTTTTTCCGTTTTCTCTCAGATAGGATTTCGACTATAAGATGATGTTTTGGAGCTTACTTTCGATCCAGAAATTACGGATTGTCGAATGGAATTCTCATTTTTTCTAATTGTTCTTATAGTCGCTTCGTTAAAACCAAAAGCTTTGCCAACAGATGTGCGACCTTCGCCTTTCTTTAGACAGTCTAAGATTTTTATTTTAGTTTCTAAGGAAATTGCTTGTCTCTTCGGAAGTTGTTGTTTAGGCATTTCATTAAACAATAAGGGTACTATAAATAGAATCCAAAATAATATTGCTTATAGAATTTTTCTAAAGTGACATTCTAACACAATATTACCTTTTTTAGTAGCAAAGAATTATCATCATTACAAATAATACACTGGAAATTTCACCATCGAATTAAAAAAACTTTAATTTAAACATCCATAACTTTTAGAACTTTATCGAGATTATTTATTACGTCTCACAAACTGACCACTCTTAACACAAAATAAATACTGAATAACGAAATCCTGTGTTCAAGTTGAAGCACAACGAGATAAAGAAAAAAAAGTGATAATAAAATTCTGGTATCCCCCGTAGTAGACCAAGTTATAAACATGTGGGCATAAACCGACCGACTTCTGACGACGGTATTCCCCCATTGTATTTTGTTACTGTATACATAAGTTTCTGTAAGACGCTATCAAAATTAGAATTAAAAATGTTTTTTTGGGATTCGTGCTATAACAAAAAATTTGTGTAAAAAATGTATTGGTGAACCGTGTTATTTGAAAATCGATTTAAAAAAGACCGTGTAAAAAAAAGAGTTGGGTGTAATTAAAAAATACTGGAAAAATGTAAGTGGTGCGTTAATTTTGTCCAGGAGTTTATTACAACAATCTCCAACTTAAAAGAGGAATCAAGGTATGGGCTCTGCCTTGTTCACAGACTGGATATTTACTGAATTTCTCAGTATATGAAGGCAAGAAGGAATGCAACGAAGAGGGCTCCTTGGGCGAGAAAACTGTACTAGAATTGACTAAGCCCTTCGAAAACAAATTCTATTGCATTTATTTTGACAATTTTTTTACGAGTTTCTCATTATTATCAAAGCTTCTTGACAGAAAACTGTTTGGATGCGGAACGCTGAGGTCAAATAGAAAAAACTTTCCGAAAGAACACTTAGTGCCAGACAAAAGCCTCCGATCAGGTGAATTTGATACTATTGGCACCAGCAATATAATTGTCAACAAATGGAAAGACAGGGGAACAAAATGTGTATTGGTCGCCTCTACGATACATTCGGCTCTTGAAAAATCACATGTCAACAGAATGCCAAAGGAAGGTGTCAAAGTCACTGTTCAATGCCCTAAAAGTGTTGACGATTACAATCAACACATGGGTGGAGTTGATCGATTTGATCAACTCCACTCATGTTACAGTATAGCCTGGAAATCACGAAAATGGTGGCCAAAATTATTTTATTATATGGTCGATGCCAGTATTGTAAACTCTTACATTTTATATAAACATGGGACTTCTACCAGTCAACCTAAATTTAAAGCAAAATCACATCTAATATTTAGAAGTATACTCGCAAATCAACTAATTGGACAGTTTACAACAAAAAAATTACGGGGATCATGGTTAGTTGTTGGCAAAAACAAAATGAAAAAAGTCGATGGAAGATCGGTGACTGTGGAAAATACTATAAGAATGAATAATGTTGGCGAACACTTACCAACTAACACGACTTCTCGGAGATGTGCATTGTGTAGCACCGAGAAGAAAAATTCTAAAAACAGTTTTCAAATTTTATGTTGTCTTATGTTGAGAAATTTTGGTTGATATTTCGACCGCTATTCAAATACCTGCAGTCTTCTTCCTAGTAGGTCACTGGTCGAAATATCAACCTGCTGATAAAAAATATGTTAGAGTTTTTTTTTCTTTAATTGTATTGTTATAAGACTCCAATAATAAGGTTTATGTAAAAAAAAGCAATCTTTTTTATTTTTCATTATCTGCCCTATAAAGGGTTAATTTATTTGTATAATGCTGTCTTAATTGCTATTTTGTTTAAACAAATGAATACCGGCCATTTTACAGTTTGTCAAGTCTAACCTCAAAATATAGATCGTAACTACTTCACATCTTATACAAATTATTCACCCCAAAATGAGCAATTTGAAGGTGTGCCGTTTGTGTTTAAACCCAAATCATTTGATAGACGTTTTTTATTCGAAAACATCATGCGCTGGCATTAATCACTTGAGAACCTGCATATTGCAGTGTACTGGTACAAATGTAAGTCTATATTATCATTTTGATTACAATAAAGATTTTCTGGTAATTTTTAATATTATTTGCAGATATTATTTGAGGATAAATTTCCAAAATATGTATGTAAACCGTGTTGTGATGTGTGTTTAAGAATATTTGAGTTTCGGAAACAGGCACAAGCTACTGAAAGAGCCCTTAAAAATTTTGATGTACTAATTATTTTTCATCAAATGATTATACATTATTAATACATACTTTTTAGCAACAAGAAATTTCAGCAAATTCAAATTTACTGATCAATAATAAACAAACTAATTTAAATATTCAAGTACCATTAAGCAATACGAACAAGAAGCAAGATCCAAAGCATAGTCAGCCAAGTGTACTAAATACTATTAAACCACATGTGGATCTGGTTTGTGGACCACCTAAGCAAGTTAACCTTGCCAATATTAACCCTGTAGTGGTGTTGGACTCAAATTGGAAATATCAATAACTAGTGAACTCAATAAGTATAAGTACATAGTCAAAAACAATTCAATTAGACAAATTTAAAAGCATTATTTTTACATAATATTAAGCTACAAAATCTTCTTGAGAATAAACAAAACAGAAAAAAAAATTTAAGTACATTCAAAATATTCATTATAGTTATTCGAAAAAAGATAAAATCACATTGCAATAATTTTGAACACATGTACCAGTGCAATTCAAACACTCAACATTTAATTAGTGCAATTTAATGGATATGTTAGTAATGTGAGCTCTCAAGTACATATTTATGAAGAACAAAAAGATGATAAAGACTTTGATTAATTGTTGAAGAAGCAATTGTGATCTCAATACAAAATTTATTTTTAATTATGTCATTGCATTGTTAAAATATTATGTTAATATTATAACATTATTTTGTGTTTGCAATAGTTATATCATGTTATGTTAATTTTATTTTTCATGGTGAAATAATGTTAATATTCTAATTAAAATTCTTATTTCTACTTACTAATATTTATGAATCTCTACAATAAAATGACAAAATCGTCAGCCACACTACTAGTGGTGTCCCATTTTTACGTGTTCCTGATTATTATACCATCTGCAAGTTTTTCTTTGAAGATCCTGTATAAATTTTAATATCGTATTTAATCTCCCTATGCTTTTCTTCAACTTTTTGGTCTGATGCGTTATTCTCCTATCTGCCACCGTTTTTAAGACACCTGAGGAAAATAACCACTCTATGGAGGAAAGTAAACGTGGTCTTCATACCTAAAGGTGGTAGGCATTCAAACGCGGACCCCAAAGCATACAGACCAATTAGCCTAACTTCATTTCTTCTCAAAGGGATGGAAAAGGTAATCAATCAATACCTTAGAAATGGAGTGCTTGTTACTAATCCACTCCACCTTAGCCAACATGCTTACCAGACTTACCACTTTAGAGGAGGCATTTGCAACCAAAGAGATAACCCTATGTGCTTTCATAGACATAGAGGGTGCGTTTGATAACACCTCATATGAATCCATAGAGAAGGCTCTAAACGTAAAAGACCTACATCCATCGACAACCAAGTGGTGTATAGCCATGTTAAAAAGTCGGCAGATCACAGCCAGTCTAGGAGGCGAGTCGCTGACTACAAAGGCGCTAAGAGGATGTCCCCAAGGGGGAGTGCTATCACCTCTATTATGGTGCCTGGTAGTTGACAACCTAATGAAAACCCTAACTAAAAACGGATTTAAGATACAAGGGTATGCTGATGACCTGGTAATCACAATCCGAGGTAAATATGATTCAATCATAACTCAGCTAATGCAGAAAACCCTACTACTCACCAGTACTTGGTGTAGAAGCAATGGGCTCAGCATCAATTCCAATAAAATCGAAATAGTCCCTTTCACTCGGAGAAGGAAGCTACAAATGAAAGCACTCTCCTACACCTACGCCTCATTGGTATGGTGGCCAAAAACAAAACATAAGACAGCACAACAACAGCTGGCACAAATCCAGCGCTTAGCATGTCTTAACATAACGGGTGCAATGAGATCCTGTCCGACGGCTGCTTTGGAAGCCCTACTCGATCTCACACCGCTCCACTTATATATACAAAAGTTAGGCAGCCTTAAGTGCCTTATCACTGAAAACAGTTTCTTCACTCAAGTTGATGCAGGGTAACCTCAGAGGACACCTCGAGATCCTCAAGGACCCATGTCTATATCACCTGATTGAAATTAAAACGGACCTCATACCGACAAAATATAATTTCAACCAGCCGTATAAGGTCATATTTAGAAGCAGGGATGATTGGGCGAAGGGAGGGCCTCAACTAAAAAGAGGAGCCCTAGAGGACTTAACAATTTTCCAAGCAGAAGTTCTTGCTATAAACTTCTGCACTGCTTTGAACCTACAGAAGGGACAAAAAGGTGCATCCATAAACATTTTCACAGACAGTCGGGCCGCCTTAAAGGCAATTCAGGCCTACACGTGTGACTCCGCACTGATCAGAGAGTGTACCAGCAACCTGAGACAACTCGCTAGGGGCAATGATGTTACCCTATGGTAGGTTCCAGGTCACAGCAACATTGAGGGCAATGAGAAGGCGGACAAGCTGGCCAAAGAGGCAGCGAACACGCCCTTCATTGGACCCCAACCTGGTTGTAGACTACAAAAAAGCCACCTAAAACAAATAATCAACAACTGGGAGGTTTCAAAGATAGCGTTATGCTGGAAAGAACTTCCAGGTCACAGACAAGCGAAGAGTATGACAACTCCGTCGCAAAGGGGATCTAAGAATGCTCTCAGGCTACCTGACCGGCCATGCGCCCCTAAAATATCACCTCTTCCACATTGGACAAGCTGAGGATCAAACTTGTTGACTATGCAACGACGAGTCAGAAACTGCTGAACATATACTGTGCAATTGCGTCGCCAGAGGCCTTCTAAGACACAACATTTTCGGTAAAACTCCCCTGTTACTTACCGACATAAAGGTTCAAGACCTCAGGACAATACTAAGGTTCATCAAGGACCTACATTTGCCCTAAACCTTTGGAGGGCTAAAGTTACAATAGATCTTATAGGTCGCGGTAACGAGCGGGGCCGCTCTCCTCAGCCCGGCAGCAATAATAATAATAACATTAAATTTAATAAAATGATTGTTTGTGGTAATAGCGCACATGATATCCTTTTAACCGGAGCTTGTTGGAGCCATTTCACCAAACTTCTAAACAGTACACGTACTAGCACAAAAATAGTCCAAATATCTATTTTTTATGGTTTATGCTTATTAAGATGTAATAAATCTGTCACATATCTGAAAGCTTCTGCTTGGCATATTCTCAATAGAGTAGTTCTTGCGGCCTTGATGTCATCTAATGTTATCTGGTCTACACGTTTCCCTTTTGGAAATTTGCAATTATGCAGGAATCTTACAATGTAAGCAGAAATACGACATAGTTCTGCTAACTCTTCGTCGTTTTGCAAAAATATTCGCTGTTATTTACGTTGTGTGGGCTTGATTAACACTTGCCTGTACAGGGTGTCCCAATTTCGATGTCCGCATAGGCTATCTCCGAAACTAAAAGAGATACAAAAAAAGTAGCTTACATGTCATGATCTCGTTTTTCGAGAAAATGCTAATGCCGAAAACTGCGAGCAGCTATCGTCTTTTGTTTTCGCCCTATCGGCAAAAATTGAAAATTTTGCGAAAACGACAATCGCGAATATCTCACTTATTATCAAAGATGGAGTATTATAAATAAAACATTATATGGGCAACTTTTTACGAAGAATTCAGTGGCGTAGGTAGAATTTTTTTCCCATCTTTTATTTTCGAGATTT